AAGTAAGTTAAGTAAGTAAGAAACGTAAGAAGTAAGACGTAAGTAAGTAGTACTAACAACTAAGTACGATAGTAGTAGTAGTAGTAGTAGAGTAGAGAGAGAGAGAGAGAGAGAGAGAGAGAGAGAGAGAGAGAAAATTGCCAACAACCATTCTCTATGTAAATTACATGTTTTAGGATCTAAGATATACAAAAATGGCTAAAATGCCCCCTTAACTAACTTAAAAGGACAAGAAACTATTTACCCACAAAAGACCAAAAACTACTAAAATATCTAAAAAATTCAGGAAAACAAAAAGGGGCTTATTTTCATAATTTTGTGCCTCCCATCTTGATTCGCTAGTTTAGTGCTAGACAAGTAGACTGGCCAGTTCAAACATTGGACTGGCTGGTCCACTTGTTCACTCTTGTTTTGATGGACTTGCAAGTCCAAGGGGACTGGACCTGATAGTGTTTGGTCCATAATTGTTGAAAACGCCTAGGAACCCGGATCGGTTCAGGAATCGGAATCGCTTAATCATGACCACCTAGAAGATTCCTGTTTAGGAATCAATGTTCGTACAACAAGAAACGTGGGGAACGAGATTCCTAATTTCTTGGAATCGCTTCTCGACCAAAATAGATTCGAGATTTATCCACATTTGGAATTGAGATTTTGACCTCCTTGGAATCAAGATTCTCATCCCCTAGAATCGACATTCAAGGAATCAAGATTCATTGATATGTGGAATCGAGATTCCGACTTCTATGGAATCAAAATTTTGACATGTGGAACAGATATGTTGCAGTTTAGAATTGTGATTCCAACATCTTTGGAATCAAGTTTTTGATGTATATGTATCTGAGATCCATGCCTGTTTGAAATCGAGAATTACATTAGTGTAGAATGAATGCTTTGACCCTTACTAGGAATCGAGATTTCAATTTTATGGAATAGGAAGCACCATACACATCTTGAGCCTCATCAACTTTAGAACCTATATCAAATGTCTCTTATTCGATTTGTAGAGCAAATTTTAAAGTGATTGTGTTGACTATTGATCTTAGGGTCAAATAATATTCTAGGAAAATTATATACAAAAGATATGTATTTCTAAATTGTAATTTTAACTTCATTATTAAATTGACAAAATAGGATTATGTATTTCTAAAAAATATGGAAGCAAGATTCCATATTGAATCGCACTTCCCTACTCTTATGGACCGTTGTACTATACGTTATAGATTCTAGAGTCAAAATCCTAATGAAACGAGAATATTACATGTGGAATCATATATCATTCAACTTGGACTCAAGATTCAATCATTGCTGGAGTCGCAATGCGATGTATTTGGGAAAGACTTTCCACAAATAATGGGTTCAAGATTCTAAAGATGTATTGAAATGAGATTCCTAAATTAAGGAATCGAGATTCCATGGTTCCGAGAAATGGTTTCGATGAAGATTCGTTAATGGAATCGCCGAATCGGGTTTTTCGAACTGGAATCATAGGGTCGACAAAGAGATCCCGGTAACTATGGTCTGGACTGGTTCTGGTTCGACCCGGCTGGTCCGATATGCACTAAAGATCATTGCAGCCTTAAGTAACCTGGCCTGCCAAGACTGAGCTACTCGCACCTAGTCCGAGTTGACTTTGACTAGTCATTTACTAATGCATGAAACTGGTTCCTGGGTGGCAGGATTCCATATTTCTGTTTTCCAGTATTTTCAATTATCAAATCCTTCTTAAGAATTTGAACTTTATATATGTTTGGTCTAAATAGCATGGCTTCAAACTGATGAATGCTATCTATGACTTAGGATCTTTAAAGGCAGCAATGGACATGGCCAAGGCATTGAGATCCAGAGCTTTACTTCTGAAAGTATTTCAAAAGAATGTGTTTGGCCATTATTTATGCATGATACTTAATGAGTTGCTTGACCCGACTTTGTTCACGTGGCTGAATTAATTTTTTTTACTGCCTTGGTACTCAGCCTATGAATTGTTCATTTCTGTCCCTGTGCACCATTCCGTATTTATTGTATTTCTCAATTTTATTGCATCTCCATATTCCTGTTCTAGCATATATATTGTTATAATCAGACAGGAATATTTTTAGCACCAAATTCTTAAAATTCTTCCTTGCAAGATAAGTTAATCACCTCAGCATTGTTGAAATTATAGAAACTATTGAAACCATTGTGGGTGTTGAAAGCAAGGAGAATCTTGAAACTAATTCACAGAACAATGTAGATCCACCAATTACTTCTGAAGAGCCACTGCAAACAAGAAAAAGAAAGAAGGGTGGAGGATACAATCTGAGGAAAAGCTTAGCATGGCATAGGGCTTTTCTCACTGATGAAGGTACTACATGACTCTTATATTTTGGGGAAAAAAAATATTAATAGTGGTTGGACGTGATCTCATTGATTTAATTTTTATCTAAGGGAGTTTGCATTGATCCAACATTTTCACCCTTGCCTAGGTGTTCTTGATCCATTAGAATTATCCATTGTAAATGGGTCTTTCAGAAAGTCATGCAAGACCTTGTTGTCTGGGGTGATGAAAGAGGACCCACAAGCAACTGGTGCCAGTTTAATTAGTGATGGACCTGATCTACACTCTATTGAAGAGAAATTATTCAGAGGACCTCGATCTTCTACAACTCACAAAGGAGATAAAGGACAAGGTGATTCATCTACAAAGTCAGAATGTTCAACTCTGGATTCCGCAAGTTCTTTGGTTAGTTTTAGTTTACAGAATACTTTTCATTTCAGTTGCCTTTACAATGATTTTTTTTGTCATGATGTTTGCCATATTTTTCTTATTTTAATTCATGAAGAACTCTGTCAAGGACTTCAATCTTGGAGGTCTTTTTTCTTATTTGTGAGTTGTCATATTCTCCATTCAGCTCAAAACATTGTCGGCCAGAAGCAATAAGAGTGGGAGTCAAGGTGGAATTTGCCCAAAACCACCGCCTTCAACTTCATATCCTTTTTATGTGGTGTTGTTAGTTTAAGTCTTAAATTTGATGTTATTGTTTAGGCAACAAATCTTAACCCAAGTGTACACCAAAAAAGCTTGGTGAAGCCAAGACTGCATATTCAAAGTCAAATATTTCAAAAGCCACAGCTGCCAGGGGAGATTCATCATTTCCACCAACAACGTCTATAAATACTTCTCGGACTACAAAGCGCCTGAAATCCGCCCCTCAGAATGCCTCATCAGGTATCTATGCTATTGTTCATGATTCTTTTTTGGGAATCCATAGGAGTACTGGGGGACTCCCTGTTTCTCTATCTACTACTAATTCTTAAATTTTAGTAGTTAAAAATGGGAAGAAGATAGGTCGAATGATCTCCAAAGAAAATTCGAAGATTCGACTCAATGGTTCTACCATGCCAGTTTCGGTGGCAAATGTTTCTCCACTAGTTCCTACTGAAAGCTCCATCTGCAACAAAACAAAAGTCTCAACAGAAAGAAAGAAGCATCCTATTCCAAACATTCCAGGGGCGGGTTTATCTAAGAGATCATCTGGACAGAATACAGTACCAGAACAAGTAGGTGGAGTGAGTGATATGTTTTCTGCGGTCATTAGCCTCAGATTCTAATGTTATTACTTCTCCTTTTGAAGTAATTGCAATTCTACTGATGATGGACAGGTTGCTTTTCCAATTGGCTCTCATTTGGCAACAAATTCACAGAAACCAGAACTTGCCAATAGCACCATTCATTCTGAGGTGATTTTAAGGAGCGCAAATCAGATATCTACACACAGTTCAATCAGAGCAGCTGGTTGTCATGGCTCTCCAGCTTCACTCCCAAGTAATTCTATTCAGTCTTCTCAGCAAAATCTAAAACCATCAGGATTGAGGATGCCCTCACCAACTTTAGGATATTTTGATCCGGTATATTTCTGACCATATTTGCTTCGATTTCCTCTCATTTGATTTTTAATTTTGATAGACTTCTTTACCCCATTACTTAATTCACCTTGCAGGCAAAAGTTTCTGGTTTGCAATGTGTTCCATCTAAGAGTAGCAATGTGGTGAATGATGTTGTAGAGGCTCGTATTCCTTCTATCAGACAACCAAGTATTGCAAATATTTTGAGATCGTTACATGTCCCATATGAGAAGAGAGTGAGCACAATCCAGAGTAACTCCACTGCATCTTGTAGGACTGGAACTGCAAGCACTTTGGATTCTTCAGTTCCTTTAACTGAAAACATGAAATCAAGCTTGGAAAAGAATAAGTTACCGAAGGTGCAGATGAGGACGTCTTCTAATTCAGAGAATTTGTCATGCAGCCAATCAGATCATTGGAGAGAGTTGCTTGACAATTGCACAAACTCCATTATTGGCGATCTTGCAGATCAAGCGGGAGAGGAAGAACAGTCTGGAGCTCTTGATAAGCAATCCGCAATGTTATGTGATCAGGGGAACAGCATAAGAAACCCAAAAACTCTTGTTGAAGATGGGGCACAGGATAGTGGTTCTCTTAGTATTGATGTTATTGATTCGACAACTGGAAGTTCCATGGAAATGGGAATTTTACATTCTGCATATCAACCATTGAGTACTCCAAATAAATTACGTGGAATTGATGTTAAAACAGATAGCCTGGTTAACAATCGATGTGAGGAAGTTGCTGCACTTCTTGATCGGGATTCTCTTACGATTCCTGAAAGTGAGCATGCAGTTGAAAGTACTGATTCGAATTGCAATTCACATGCTAAAAAGGATATTGAGGAGAGCTGCCAAGCTACTACTGCTGGAGAGAAGTTAATTTTGAACCAGAGTTCCGAGCAAATTGGTCATCCTCCGATTGCTAACAGCTCAGAATCACTTCATCTTCATCATGAAGAGCTGGGATCATCAGTTCAGAGGATGGTGAATGGAGAAATAATTGCTACTATAGATAAGGGATCTGCACTTAACATTTATACAGAAACAGAAGTCATGCTAGCCATTATGGGAGATACACAAGAGATTCCGTGCAATGTGTCAGATAACTGTGAGCTTTCAGATGGTCATGTGCAGGCTAAGATAAAGAATGAAAAGAATCCTGCAAGAAATAAAGGGGCTTTGCCAGCTTTGTAAGTTCCAGAAGTAACTGTTTTTTCTTCTAAATTAGTTTCTTATCATTGGTTTGGTTTCTCATTTTCTTGAGAATTTTAAAGCTGCACAGATAAGCATTGATCAGACCTTTCTATTTGTTGGTAGCAAGAAGAAGCTTGCAGGTAGTCTTGCGTCAAACAGGGATGCCGCTATAAATAGCCAATCTGTTCCTGTACCATTTTCGGATGAATGGGTATCTGCGCTTGAGGCTGCGGGCGAGGTTAGATGATTTCGTTATGACTTGCATTGTGCTCCAAATTGGAGTTCTGTTTAATCAATTAATAGTCTTTTACTATGTGCTTACTCAATGTGGTTTTTCTCAGGATATTCTCAAGGTCAAGACAGGTCCAGTTCAAAACTCACCTACAGACAAAGCTCCTCCAAAGCCTGGTCCCTGGTCTCCAGTATGGCTCTTTTCTTTTCTGTCAATTTATAGTCTTTTTCTTTTGTCTTATTGAGGTGCTAGTTTTCTGCATTTTTTGAGACAATATGTAACCCGTACTTTGAAGCTTAGTCTTGCATGTTAGGCTGTGGGTTTGATCTTACACTTCACCAAAAGAAGCACGCATAATAGTAAATGATTTGTTAATCTCTACAAATTCCAAGCATTTCATGAGTATAGGGTAAGGAAATTAAGATATTGAACTAATGTTTTAAAGGGTGAAGTTTGCAATCTTAAAAAATTAAAGTAAAGCGCATCTCCAAACTTTGTGATAAGATGCAAATTTGGTGTTGAAAATTTTTAGGATGGCCCGAGAATTTATTTTCATCTCCAACTATAAAATTTTAAACTACAAAAATGGTTGGAACCAAGCAGACCTATGAACATATAAAAATATTGAAAATGGATGTTTCAGATAATATATTGCAAGATGTACTATTATTGGGACTTGAAATCTTTTTTTTTCCATATCTATACATCTCAATGTCGAGATGATCAATTAGATGGTTTTCCAACATCAAGATAACCTTTTCCCAATGGATTTTTGAGGTGAATCTTAATTCTACGAGTTTCAACCTTATCTAAACTTTTTCGTTAAATTAATATCAATGGAAGTAACAAAGTAAGTGAATTCTTCAGATTTTTAGACTCTTTGAGCAGTTCTTTACTACGTTGACATGTCTTTAATCAAACCAATCTTGGCTGTTTTCTGTAGGCATTTGATTGGCTGAATCCATTACCTTTCTTGTGGTTTGAAAATATTTACAGTTTGCTTTGCTTATTCCCGAAACTGATGTATGGATATGCCATTTATAGATTGAGAAATGCAATTGATTCTAATAAGCAATGTTGTAAAATTGTTGGGTGGTGCCCAGACGGCATGCCTAGGAACCTAGGGGGCTGGCCAGGTCTCGAGATGCCCTAGGTACACTTATATGCATATGCGTGAGCTCCGAAAGCACACATGCCCATACACGCATATCATTTTTGAATATTTATGCATTTATATGTATTCTAACCAAGTATATATGCAAATATATGCACCTGAATGCTGAAATAAATGGAAAGCATTGAATATAATTTGAATCACATTTGACATTTTACAATTGTGATAAATCAATATTCACTTAATAACGCATCTATTAAGGAAGTTAACTAACAACCACAAAGTGTAGTTATGTAAAAGATTAACAGATATAACATATCTGTAGTACAGATCCATATTTTAGGGACTCCACATCCACACTCAATATAAAATCCAACCACAATTTAGTGAAAGTCATAAAACTAAAATGATAGAAAAGAAATTTAAGAAGAATGAGTTTTAGTCCAATCTTTCTCTTCTTTGTAATCATTGGCTTTGTTTGTCGCACTTATATCTGAGTCCACGCCACGATTATCGGTATCATGACCCTCTTCAACATAATGACCCTCCTCAGTTTCTTCCAAAGCGGCTTCCTTCTCCACCTGCTCAATCTCCATTCTTTGTGAGCCAATAGTAGTGGTCGTCATCAATCTAGTGCTCCTTCTAGGATTGGAAGCTTGTTTGAACCCTCGTCAACCACATTATGTAGTCAAACATTCAGATTGGAAGACATCTTCACTCCCATATTCTTCAACCAATCACTCACTAGCATCATCTCTGTCTTTGGATACAATAGAATCCATCAACACCCATTCATTGAAACAATTTTTTAGCCTCTTATTATACTTGACGAGGGCTAAATCATCGTCTCTTTTGCTCAAGCCTGTTTTTTCTTTGTATGCATCTATGGGAAAATCCATGAGCTAGAAGTTGTACTAGATTATAAGTCAATATAAGCCTATAAATAAAACATGTGCTAGATGAATGTATGATGTTATATTATATACTTGTTTAACTTGTACATATTGATAGAATCAACTGTCATAAGTTCACAAGTCATAACTCATAACTATAAATCGGTAATTAATAATATATTAACTTATTAATGCTAGACTAATCTGCAAGTTGTTAGGGCACTATCTCAAATGGTCTCTACCTGCGCTTACAACTAGATGAGCTACATATTGTGCACAATATCCAGATGACTATCCTTTGTAAGCGTGGAACACTATTCCCATGTTGGTTCTACTATTGACCTGCAATTTGTATACAATCACTAGGAGTCAATGTCTCTAACATCATATGAAATTATGTGTTGTGGAAGCTGAAACTTTAAAGGAAAATTACAAATTGGATACACTATCGAGATTGATTTTGTCTTTTGTGTCACCATCATGTCCTTTCTAAATGATTTTAATGCACATTTATATAAGAATCAACCTTTCAGAAGATAGCTTATCTTGGATATCCTTACTAGAAAAAAGCCCCAGAAGATACTCATTAAAACACACCTTAGTTGTATCCTTTCTCTCAAAATGCAAGTCAACATTAAAAAAAAAAAAATATCGGTTCACATAGTACCTAGCTGTATGTAATGGCTATCCCATGTTTATATCTCCTATATTGGGGAATAGTTGCTTTTATCATTGCCCAATGCCTTAAACCATCTCTCTCTTAACTCCATCTAATGCTTCATATATAAATGCCTAATGGGCTTCACGTTACTATTCATCAAGCGCAAAACTTTGATCAATAATGGAAATATTGTAAGTACTTTACCCCAAAAATTCGTAGACAAAACTATATCATGTGCCTTCTTCCCTTTGACATGCTTGGCCCACTTTGTAGACTTAGGAAAGAGGTGGCAAATCTCGTGATCCTATGGCTCACTAGATTCCTCTTCTCAGTGAACTTCTGCAGCAGACTAATCACTAATGATAAGGGTGCGGTTGTAGATGAACATTGTCACGGCCTTAGCTTTATTGAGTGTCGCCCTTATCCTTTGCATTTCGCAATTAGTCTCATGGATGAGGTCTATGTAGTGTGTGTTGGGGTTTTCTGGCCTTTAAAGCCTAGAGAGTTTGTAAATAAAATTATTTATAGTGATTTGTGTACTTCATGGGGAATGTATTGTGGTTAACAGACATAGGGTTGGACGGTCTATGGCCCAGGTCATGTCCAAAACCCTTATCATGTAGCACTTCTTGCTTTCGATTCGGTAGATGTGCTTCCCATGTAGCATCACCATTCACAACATCCTCCCCACGATACTCTTATAGGTCGGAGATATTGAAAAATAGAAGAAATTTCATATCGTTTGGGAAGGTCGATCTTGTAGGTATTCTGTTCCATCTTTTGAAATACTTGACAAGGGCCAATCGTCTTCTATTTAAGTTTATGGTTAAGTGCCTCCCAGGTAGTGCTTATGGTTGAGGTACACCATTACCAAGTTTCCTACTTCAAAGGGCTTTTCCATTTGCTGCAAGTCGGCATCGGCTTTGTATTTGTCGTAGCACTTTTGTAATCTTTCCCAAATTTGACGATGAAGTTCTTGAATGTGGTCAGCCAAAGTTTCCTCAAAGTCACTAGCTCAACACTCCCTCAGGCAAAAGGACAAGGTCAAGCACCTTGCTTTGTGCCAATCCATATACCACCTCAAATGGAGCGTTATTGGTGGAACAATTAAGAGAACTGCTATAGGCAAATTCTACTTGAGGTAAAACTCGATCCCATTAAGAAGACTTGTGCCCGACAAGGTTCCACAACAAGTCTCCAAGGCTTCGATTGATGACTTTGGTCTCGTCATCAGTTTGGGGTGGTAGGCACCATAGATTGTAGTTTAGTACCCAACTCCCAACTTTTTCTACAAGGTTCGCCAAAAATGACTCGCAAATCTTGTGTCTCAATCACAGGTGATGGCTTTTGGGATACAATGAAGTTGGACCACCTCCTTAGATAAAAGATCAGCCACTAGAGTCACGTCTAAAGTGTTTCGATAAGGAAAGAAGTGGGTCATTTTCGAGAACCAATCTGCCACGACAAAGATAGATTGGCACCCTCTTGAGTTGGGGGGAAGCCCCAACATGAAGTCCATAAATCTGTCCATGGTCAATTGGGAATGGGTAGGTGAGTGTAAAGGCCAATGTCTTGAGCCCTCCTTTCGCCAACTGGTGCGCTCGATTGCACTTCGTGAACTGGCTGCATCTCTTTTTAGTTTGGGGCAAAAGTACTTCTCTTCCACAAGGGCTGTGGGCTTAGCTCTTCCAATGTGACCACTAAGATTGTCACCATGCATCTCACCTGTGATTTGGATGCGAAGTGACCCCTCGGGAATGCGAAGCCGGCTTTCTTTGAAGGGAAAACTATCTTGTAAAACAAGAACAACGCATGTTTCGCCTTCCCCTTGCACAAGTTGCTCAAGTATTTTAGAGAAGTACAGGTCAGTAGCATAAGTTAGAGGTCGGTAGTTAAACCCACCACCGAGATGGCAAATCTACCAAGGAGGTGACACCTATGGCTGAGGGCATCAACCACCTTGTTTTGGCGGCCGAGATTACAAAGGTTAACTCGTATAAGTAAGAAACCACTTGGCATGCCTTCGATTGAATTTCTATTGAGCACTTAGATAGTTCAAAGCTTCATTGTTTGAGAGCAAGATAAATTCCAATTGAAAGCGGGAGTGCCTCGAATGTCTCAAGGTTTGCACTACTGCATAGAACTTCATATCTTAAGTAGAGTAATTAATCTTTGCCCCATTCAATTTCTCACTAAAGAAGGAACGGATCTGCCCTTTTGACCTGAGACACCTCCAAATCCCACGTTTGAGGCGTCGCACTCCACTTGGAAGACCTTTTCAAAGTTTGAAGTGAGAGGAAAAGAACACTCATCGTTCTTTCTTTCACCAATTTAAAGCTGTTTTAGCAACCAAAGCCCATTCAAACACCCATATTTTCATACAATCAGTTATGGTTGCTATTATGCTGCTGAAATTTTGGATAAACCTTCTGTAAACTGTTGCTAAACCATGAAATCTTCTCACCTCAATTACTGTTTTGGGTGACGGCCAGTCCACAATGGTTTGAACCTTGGTAGGATCC